AAAACAAAAAAAAAAAAAAATATATATATATATATATATATATATGTGTTTGTCCAATTAATGAAGATTACAATGCGCCACGATGACGGCGGAAAAATCGAAAGGGTTTAATATCAGTACTTGTAATTAACATTAAATAATAAAAACGAATTTTTGCACACATTTTATTGGACAATGAAAATGAGTTGACGACGGAAAAGTTTTATTTTTTTTTTTTAATTTTCTTACAATAAACTTAAGATATGACAATAGTTAAATAAATTCATATTATTATTATTATTATTTTTTTTTTTTTTTTTTTTTTTTTTTGTGTTTGTAATACAATATTTTAGAAATATTTTTTTTAAATAATTTTTTTTTTTCTTTTACACATGCAAAACATTTTTAACAATTACTTATGTATATATACGTATATATATATATATATATTGGCTTGATTTTCGCACAATTGAATGTATAATAAATTGTAGTTATTGAATATTTTGTCTCTTAACAAATTAATCTGTTATATTATTTTATATTCTTTAGAGCTTAAGTTAATAAATTGACTTATTTTTTGTATATTAAAAAAAAAAAAAAAGAAAAAAATTATTATGACTCTTTTAAAGAACTTTTGCTGTGAATTCAACGAAAGAAATTGAATAAGATCTTAAAACATTTAATAATATTATTCTTTTAATATTAAAAACAATAAAAAAAAAAATTATTTTTAGTACGTTAAAAGTTAACATCAAAAACAAATTTTTCAGAAAATTCTTCTTCTTGTTTTTGAGCTTAAACAACCTCTAAATAGTCATATGTGACATAAGAAGTCAATTGTGGGCGCGTCAAAATTTTATTTCTCGAGCATAATTCTATGGCTATATGCGGGCAATTGAAACCGTAAAAGGGTTTCTCGCGAAACACGGCACACGGCATAAGATCAACAACTTTCATTTTTTCCCTTCGCATTTTTCACATTATCTTTATTATTATTATGTATAATATGTTTCGATCAAAGAAATAATTTCTAGGATTAGAAAAGCAGCTAAGAATAGCGGCCCCTTTTTTTTATAGGTATACTGGAGGGTTAGTCGAGGCGCTTTAATAAAACGAAGAATTTTCTCGATATGTTGATATGTGTCTTCGAATATTGGCGTTCGCCAAATATATGTTCAATGGGAAGACCTCGTCTGCAACCCTAAAGTAGAGAGATAGGTTTCTTAAGAATTCATTGTTTTGATCTTGATTTTCTCGATGTTGACTGTGTACACGGATGGAACGTGATAAGCCTTAATATGCGAGTGGTGTGGATGATACCATTAACCTTGTTTTTCATCTATATTCTCTCTGCTTCTTTTCTAATACACTTTTGAAGGTCAAACTTCTCCAGTAAGCTGCCCATAATTAAAGGTGCCGAGGATATGTTACAGCTTCCCATATGGAAAACTTATATAGCGAGAGTAACCAACAGATCATTTGCGGGATGCAGAGGATGTGGATTTGGCTGCAATGTCTGCTCGATCATTTCCCAAGAAGCCGATACACAAAATATATGTAATGTAATAGTGTTACTGTTAAACTTTAAAGGATTGCGGATAGCTTTTATGACCGACTAACTGAGTGGCTATAACCAGCTTTCATTTAGTTTCGCGAGAAAGATATCTGGCTTGAAGAATAGCTCTAGTTTCGATTGTAAATTTTGGCGCGTTTCCATGTTGAATATGATTAACTTGGACTTCTGCAGTAGCAGCCACTGGCGTGTCTCTACAAAACAGCATTCTCTACAGAACGGCGTAGGATATGTTTGAAAAGTTAATTTAAACATATTAACAAGTACTTGCCAATCACACCGAATTCAATATTTATATAAAATCCTGCTACCTGTGCACATACAGATTATGTGATTTCTTTTTTTTTTTTTTAAGTAAATTTGAACCATTTACACACTGTGTGCCGCAGTGCCATTTTCGAATGTGCCTCAGGAATATATTTTTTTTTTTATCATCTAAATATCCTCCCAGTAAGCCCCGGCTCCTAATAACGCATAGCATAGGAATTTTATTTTATTGAAAGTAAAGCTTTTTCTCACCGCTATATTAGAACTTCCCATATGAATAAATTACGGTAACGGATTATTACAAATGTTTACAATAGTAACGGAAAGAGATTACGTCCTTACTGGCCACTGTTAAGCAGTCGAGTAAGCGGATCTCTACGGTTTTCCCTCAGGAAAAAGTCAAAAACCCCGTAACAAAGATAGGATAACTACGGCATAGAGATCAAGGTAACCATACAATTCGCAACAAAATTTCTGTCTAATGTTAACTTCCTCTGCCAAACTCCTTGACTATAATTCTTTTTGTAGCGATTCGTTTTAAAATTGTTTCAAGTATACTTTCCCTATACTTCCAGGGGGTGGAAATATCCAGTATAAATTGTAGTTTCACCATTTCTACGACTTGAGATTCCTGACGATCACTAAAAAATTTTACCAACATGGCAGCTCAATGGCCAGTGTTCACGATTTGTTTACCAAAGAATCGGCCCGCCATCACTGTATGTCTATACAGGCCGTCGCAGTCATACGATTTAATACACGTGGATTTCTTTTTTGTAGCTGCATTTAAGCTCAGTTTTATGCCGATAAACTAGAAACTTTATAACACTTTCAAGGGAACATACGCCAAACTATTACAGACATAACGTAAATAATGGCAGAGTAATTAACAACTACGGTTGAAAGCTGTGGCGATATTTTCTTGAGAACATAACTGCGAAGTCTAAGCTTCAAAATAAAGCCCAATTTACTTTCGCAAGTTGGTTGCTTTTCTTTTCATACTGGGTATCACTCTTAATAAAATGAGACCCTTCATAAGTTAAATGTGTCCCATAACAGGAAGGTAAATTTATCATAGCTAAGTTGAGAGGTTGTAGCGTGTTAGAGACACGGGCACAGATAGAACAACGAAATCAGATAAAGCGAGGAGTGGGGCACCCCTGATACTCGATATCGGTAAGAGACTTTCCAGGTTTTTTTCTTCAAAGAATCAAAAAAAGACACAAGTCACTTTCACTACTCCCAAGCAAGGTACGCTTACCAGACAGTGGTTTTTACGATTCTCAAGTAGTGGCTTTTACATTCATATATATGTCTGGTAAACGGGATTTTCATAACTTATTCCCAATAACTATAATACACTACTTTACCATATAAAATTAGTAAACTCGTGCAAAAGAAGCAGCATTTTTGCGATTCTAGTATTTCTACACTTATTAGTAACAGATTGTTATTCGATATTTCTGAAGTTCTTGTCGCAAGTTTTAAAAGAAAATTTTGTAATAAAAATGATTTGTACATTTTTATATTAGAAAAAGTAATTATATGAAATCTTTCCTCTTTCAAGGATTTCCTCATGAAAAAGCATCAAACTTATCCTATATGCACTTTAAGGTAAGAAAACCTTTTCTATCAAGGTTTCTTTTAACAATTGCTTTTAATCGATTTTCCTTTCGTTTTTCTGCTATATATTTCTTCGGTGTTTTATTAATATTTTATGATTTTCGAAAATTACGGACTTTCTCTTATTACATTCCAAGGACAGGAGAATATGTTCTGTGCAAGTTTTTTGTATACGATTTTCTATTAAACGAGAGAAGCTCGCCATAAACTGAAATCATAACATATGTGAATTATTGGCGGCAAAATGCAATAAACACAAAAGCATCCGTAATGAGTGAAAAGTCATTGAATTACTCATGCAATATTAGCTATATAGCAATCTAATGCTAGCCGATCTACAAATATCGTATTTTCTTATGCGACGTTTACATTACGTATATTACAAATATTGTGACTATACTTTTATGGAGAGCGGAGAAGAATGCATTGGTTGTAATATTACAAAAGTCGTAATGTTTCTTAATAATGTAATGTAATGTAATGTAATGTAATGTAATATGACATGTTTTTGTTAGAAATTTTAAAGAGTTTATCAATTACAAATGTTAAAAAAATTTCTGCTTAATACTATTTTTTTTTTATTATTTTTATTTATTTACTTTTCATTTTGTATCCATTTATTATTAAATTAAAATTAAATAAAAAAATTATTTTTATTTTTGTTTACGTATATCACAGATAAATATTTTTGAATATAAATTTTCTTTTAAGTTGTCAATAAATTGGATGGGTCCTTGAAATGTTAAATGAACTCTATTCAAGAATCAAATGCAATACACATTCATATACATGAAGTAGATGTAAGATTGGACGGCGAATGGCTCTAATATGTGTGCAATTCGGTAACCAAACTCGAACGCAAGCTTGTATAGCTTTTCGTTTTAATTATATGCTTGTTTAAGATCATTTTATGTTTATTTTATCATACTCACAATAAACTATTCGCTCTTCCCTGGCAAGCCCTCTCTTTACATTTGCAAACTATAGAAACGTTTTTCTAGTCATGGCTTCATTATTTGAAGAAATGTTGCCTCGTAAACTAAAGGGCGACGATTTAATACCAAAATCTTTTAGTGGGTGGACGTGGAAATATTTTATTTGAAAATTTTCAGATTTTTATCAAAAGATCACATTTTTTCACTTTCCATTCAGGATCACGTTGGTTAGCACACTATATTCGTCGGTTGTTTTCAAAAATTGGAAAATCATACATTTTTTGTTAATTCGCTTGCATTAATTTCTTACTTCATTCGTATTCTGTTCGAACTCACAATTAAGTTAAGCTTTTAGTTTGTATTCACTACTGTTTTCATCACTATAGCGTAGGTTAGAAGCCATTTTACCTTACATTTTACATAAAACAATGAAATAAAAAAATGTAAATAAAAAAGTGCTACCGACTTCGGGAAAGTGTACAAAGAGCTTATACTAATATCTGCATTTTAAGGTTTTTTAGAATTTAATTTATATTCGAAATATTTTGCAATGATTGCCTGTTTGAAGGACCATCCTCATGCTTTTGTGTATGTATCTGAATAAGTATGTATGTATGTATGTGCTTTAAACCTACTGCTTAATTGAGTTGAATCAACTTTTCATCTCAATGTTGATTTTCTTTTCGTCTCCCGCTTGAATATTTTGTCTGCAATTACTTTAACGTTGACCTAACGGTGCAAATGCTTGCATACTATAATAACGATTGCTGTCCTCTTTGGTCACGCTTGTGACATGATGAAATTGGCACGGATGTGATATTTGTGACTTTGGTGGTAAGGGTGCAGGTTTAGCACGCTTTTGTTTGCGATTTTTCCGACCCGGCACCGATAAGGCTATATTTTCAGGATCGCTAATCAAACGCTCCATTTGCTGCCAAATTTCTCGGGCCGATTCTGTGGAATCGTAACTGAAACCGATCACTTGCTGATGGTTTGTAGATAAGCACATCGTATGAAATGACGGTCCAGCTACACGATAATTTGAGAGATTATCGATACGGTCCGACCATAAAGCAAAACAAGAGCCTCTTTCGGCTAAGACCAATGTTACTTTAGCCAAAGCTCTTGAACGGACATTGCCCTTATCGTGTAAGATTACCGGTATACCAGTGAAAATTAAATGCCAATCACCTTCTTTGCCAGTGCCCTCGTACAAGTTAGCCAAGGAAGAGCTTACATAAATCTCGGTACCTAAACCGCTGAAGAAACTTTCCACTTGACCGCGTTCATAGTCAGATAAATTAGTATTACTGGCTGTATCCGTACTTAGGGTATCGGCATCGCCGTCAGAATTCAAAAATAATGAATTTACTGTGGTGGCGTTATGTTGTGACGCTTGTGACCATTCCGGGTGAACAATCATTTCATTATTATCTAAAGACGAAGTACCTTCAGACGATTCCGAGGGTGGAGCCGAGTCGCCAACAGAACCCAAACGTCGCCTGGGTGGCATTAACGGCATCTGCAAGTAAACATAAATGGGAAAAAAATTTAATTTATTAAAAGGACATGACAAACATATATATATATGAGAAATTAAATAGACATGCAATATTGCTGTTTGTTGGAAAAAATAAATACTTATTTAAAGAGACCTTGAAAACATTTGTAAATTTCTCAATGTATTGAACTTGAACAAATAATTACAATTGACATTGTCTCGTATTAGAAAAGCAAGTCGCCAGAAATTCTTGACATATTCGCTGTTTACTTTATTTAATTGATAATAATTGAGACAAAATAATTGACATTTCATTTGCTACGCGTTGAAAAGAAAACATATTGAATTTGAAAAAATATTTAATAACATAACAGCTGAGGAAATATTAAAAGCTTTTATGCGAAAACTTTAACATAAAGAAATAAAAACACTTAACTAAGCTTTTATAACCGATACACGTGATGCCCCCATATGTTTTTCACTTATTACACGCTCAAATTCTCATCTGGCTGATAGCAGAATAGACTTAATACAATGTGCACTACAACAAACCAAATGGCCAATAACAAAGATTTTGCGATAGACACAAGCACTCTTAGATCCTTTTTAACTCTGTACATTATTGCCAAGTGGCAAGGACACGTGTTTTAGTAAGGCGCTGTTTATATGAACAGTACTGCGGGATATTCCATATAAATAATGCTTTCAATGACTTTTATTCTGCTCTTCTGAGACAACAAAAAAGGTCAACGTTGTTAGGAGCGCAAACTGTTTATAACGAATGTTTACGACATCATTAAATATTTTTTCTTTTCTCCTCCTGATACAAACATATCGAAAGGCAGGCTATTGTACGCAGAACAATATGAGAAAATATTGATAAAAAAAAAGATAAGATAAGATTCAAGACATATTTTTCATATTTAATCCCTCAAATGTCTGTTGCGATTGTACATAATCAAGATTTACGTTTTGACCCACACTAGTGGGTCGGAATTGTCACAGATTAGAAATTGTATTAAATCGTTATAAACCGTAATGCACTAGCATGTCATAAGCATTTTCTTCTTTTTTTCCTTATTGAACTATAACAAGAAAAATAACAAAGTATTTTATTTTGTCCTTATATTCTCTTTTCATCGATATAACAGTTGTTATGGTTGCAAAGAATTTAATAGTAATATTGACACTAATCTACCCATCATCGAAGAATGCGGATATTTTTGCATTCGTCATGTAACATTTTTATTCGTGTAGGTGAAGCCACAGCCTTCTTTCTTGTTCAAATTTTCAAATTCGCAAAATTTAGATCTTACTTTATAAATCAATTCAACAGATATTTAGATAGGAGTATAAAAGTCTAACCTTTTTTTTTAGATCGTTGGGCTGAAAAGGGAATAGACAAATAGATGAAACGCGCGAACGTACGTAACTTACGACCACCAGTGAAGCTTGAAAATGGAGTTTATACGCTCACATTTGATGACAACCTTAGGATAACCATAAAACGCCCAAAACTTTATTACTAAAAACTAAAAATAAGTTATAGCAGACATCAATCTAAAATTTGATATATTAGCGTTTAAAATAGATGAGGCATCTAATTAGGAAAATACAATTCTTCGATAGAGTAAGACATCAAAATAATGTTCTTCTAGCCTGGGACATTGGGTCGAAAAATTTCTAAATTTCTCACATGCCTTTCAAGTGATGAGACATTTCGATTGAAACTTCAAAGTTCGGATATGTTTTCATTTGAATTCTTTATTCGATGCAAAACACCTTGTTCTAGGATGCCCAGAGAAATACTAGTCGGTAATGACGAAATTCAGATAATAAGGTTTTTGAAGTGCATGATGTGTTATCGCAATTAAAAGGAGTTTTTCTTCTTCCTGCTTCAAGTTCAGCTATCTTTTATTAAAAGTTTTATATCAAGGAGCTCTTGTCTAATGTCATTTTATGCTTTACTTTGCGAAAAATAATGTTTAATCATAGCAGGATATTAGCTTTTGTCCATGATGAAGTAGGTAAACCATTTTACTACTGCGTAGTAAATTACAAAATATCGTAAAATTTAACTTGTTAGACGCCTTTTTTTAACTGATATATTCATGGCCATAAAGTTTTCCTGTCGATACGGTAAGATCAAAAAAGGTACAGTGTACTACTAGCTGCTAAATAATGAAAATGTTACTGTGGATATCTACCGACGTCCACTCATCATTAAATTGAACGATGTTCTGTGTGACAAAAAGGTCAGCAATAGTGATTAACAGACGCAAGCTCATCCTCTTGCATGACAACGCTCAGTTGTCAAAGTTGTCAACGATACACTGTTGCAGCTAGCATGGGAAGCTCAGCCTTACCAGACGTAGCGCCTTCTAATCACCGCTTGTCCAGATCTACGCAATATCACTTGGGTGGCATGCGGTTTCGAAATCCTGAAGAAGTGGGAATATGAGTCGATGATTGGACACAGTATCGCTATATCGCCAAAAAGATGGGAAAATGAAGTAGAACACTATTAATTCGTGGTTTTTTACCTATTTCTGTTTTTCACTTATATTATCAGCTTTGAAAATTATTGACTATCGATTTTATTTGTTTCTTAGTCACTTACAAAATGCAATGGTGAATATATCAGAAAAGGCAACTTTCCCGGCAGACCCACTGACTCCACTAACAAACCTAATAGCGTCTCGTGTTAAGGTTACTACTTAAAACATTTGACATAGGAAGAAACCTTTGTATTTGGCATTTTCGACTATTTGCTCCGGTTATTCATCTATACAACTTCTCACAATCTTAACTCGTATCTTCTCCTTCCGGAAATAAATTTAAAAGATGCAAATCGCGTATTGCTTACAATCCTAACAACCTAAATGCATTCAAAAAAATAGATTAGCTTTACTTAGTAAAAAGAGATTGTCAGTGCATATGCGACAACCCAATAACTCGAATTTACTGCACTGATAGAGTTCAGTAGAGACCTTGAAAAAACTTCACATTAAACTCATAGCAAAATGTATTTAAAACATGCGAAAGTGTTGTTGTAATATTATCGCAAACTTTACTTAAAATGAGTAAAAAGCAAAAATAGCAACAAAGCAAGTCACGCTATTTCTATTTATTGCATTAAGCATGCATTTGTAAGAATAATTTACTTTCGCAAGGGTTTTTATTGGGTATCAGGTCCGTTTAATTTTTACGATCGAACAAGTAATAACAAAGTTCGCCAATTATCGCCACATCGAAATTATTTTTTTTTTTTTCTTCATTTTTAGTATTAGATTTTCTGTTGCAAACCGTAACAAAATTAGCCCCATCAACATCCTGACTATATCGATTCACTTTATATTCGCATTAGGCAGACTACTCTCTTCTGTTCCTATCTTCGCTGCGAATTCCAGATATTGTCAATTAAAATATATTTAAAAAGCAAGTGAAAAGACTATAGTGGTCCATGTCCACCATTAAAGACCCTACAACACTTTGTTTAATACAGATATAACGACTATTCACAATAAGGCTTTGTATGGGTAACAATGGAAAAGTGGTCCGATTCGAACCAATTTCAATAGCGTTTATCCTTGGGCCAAGACATGTCGACGCTTCACCGTAATAGCTCTAAAATAACAATCTGTGAGTTACACACGAAAGAAGAAGACAGACGGACTGATAAGTTTAGATCGATATAATAAAACATAAGTGTATCGCAAGCCTTTCTGGATGTTGCATACATCTGGACAAACTTAACGTATCCTTGTATCACAAATGGTACAAAAATAAAAATGCCACGTAATAGTCGTCAATATATTAGTGAAATATTAATCAATGAGTTATGTATACGCCTAGTAAGCTGTTATTGTTTCACAGCACATTCGCATAGAACTTGGGAATCGCAGTTATTTTCCAGTTACTCTTTCAATTAACTCTGTTGCGTCACAGATGGAAGAGACGCGCTTTGTAATTTCGCGTACGCTTCTACCAGTAGTATATGAACCTTCAGCTAGGAATGATGACACAGACTGATAACAAATGATTTGTCTGATCTGTCTATTGACTTCACGTCGTCCAGTCGTTGCCAGCATTTGATTAACTTGTTTCGCCAAAATCAATTTGATATTTTGTCCTTTGCTGTATGTACTTGCTTTGGCAACACAATTCAAAATTAGTTTTCTTTCTTGTTCTTATTTTAAAAAAATATACGGTTTCTAAACTTCGAACGAAAATCGTTGGCTTTATATCCACCATTTCATAATTAGGGTAGCAATCGTAATGTTTGCTGTTGATAGATTAATTTTTACTAATATTTAGTAATATACACATGACTTCAAACTGATGTGCAAAATAAACGAAAAGTGGTGAAAATATTTTCAAACATGTCACATCTTTCCATGTTTTATTGCGATCATAGTAGACAATTTCTTAGTTAATCTATTAAAAACCATACAGGAGAGAATCGAGAAAACCGATCGAATTCAACTCAAAACATTGTTATCTCCAACTTCCTTATGTTCTTCATAATTTTTTGTAATGCCTTTCACTTTCTCTTTTAATGCAATCACAGTCCAATCGATCACCTGCCATAATCCGTTCAATGTTACATATGAATGTTGAAAACTGTGCTTTAAGATAACTTTAGTAAATAATTTAAACAAAATGTTAGAAGCTATGGACTGTAATATTTAGAAATTTTCTCCTCGGCTTTTCTCAGTTTGGGATCTCGCACACTAAGCTACTTAAGAATTTACATTCCTTTAGCCGAAGTTTCCCGACTTTCCGACTAGGCTAACGGTCGAGGTGCAGACGAATGAACGCTGTACTATAATCCGCTTAAGAAGATTAAGATGAGAAAGGCTTCGCATTAGGTAGGCGAAACTACAATTGACATATGCCTTCGATTTTGCATGAGAGAGTAAAAGGTAAATTGTAATTCTTTTCCCTCAGTGATAATTGCAATTAAATCAATGCAATTATCGGGTTCTTTCATTGACCAAAAAAAAAAAAAAAAAAAAAAAAAAAAAAACACAATTCCGTGATATAAAGCTGTTTATAGAATATACGCATTTAATACTCTACAAATATTTGCATCCGAAGCTGTTCATGTTCAAGGTAACTTATCTCATATCGTATGCATTATAATGATCAATAACGACAAAATATCAGTATAAAGATGACTGATGTCATGTTTTTAATTGGTTATTTACATATTGCGTTTGATTTATTTCGCATTTTCATACACTACCGTTTTTTAAATTTAATTTAAAAACCCAGCCTTCATTTAATTATAGCAAACAAAAAAAAAAATATATATATAAAAAAAATAACAAAAAAAATCAGAAAGTCAAGTTCAAAAGAAATGTAATTCGCCATAATTCATTTATTTATTTCCTTCATAAAATATTTGATTGATGGGCCAAGAGAGCACAATTCAAAAAAATAAATAAATAAATAAATAAAAAGTGAATGAATAGTTGGTTTATAAAATTAAGTGAAAACATCTGAACTTGCGTCAGAATAAATTAAATAAAGCCTTTAAGTACAGATCAGCTCAATAATAGGGAAACGTTACTATCAATAGTACGGCCACAAACATCATTTTCTTCCATAGGCCAAGGGAATCATTTCGATTGAAATTTGCCATGTTGAGAGGAAAGCTAGTTAAAAAAAAAGAAGCTTAAAAAAGAGACCTAAAATAAAGCTTGCTACTGCCTCCTTATGAATCTTATTAATTTGTCAGTCTCTGCAGTCTTATCTACAAGTAGAGAAGGGTTATTTACTTTATGTCCCATTAGGACTAGGGTACTTCATAAGCTACATTTGCATGTCAGGTAATCAGATTTATCCTTCAACGTTAAATAAATTTAAATGAATCGTTCACATAACCTCTCCTAATAGAAATAGTTATGCCGTGAGATCATAAAATTTTTGGCAACAATAGATGAAAAATATTTTATTCATTCAACTGCTTACTTCTTTCGATAGGAAAATTACCGTAAGCTTCAAATATGTCACAAAAATCGTGAAATTTTTTTAATAAAAAGAAACTATGGCCATGATTATCGAAAAGAATGTAATTGCCATGTGTTAAGAGCGTGGCTTGTTTATCTCTAGAAAAAAATTTGAGCGACGCAAAGTGATATTTGCAAAACATACTGGCAGAACAGGATTGCTTGATGACCTTAGCAGAATCTGTCAACACACGCATAACTCTTAGCCGCCACGCCGTCAACTCCAGCGCATTAGTACAAAAGATATCAGCAAACTGCTTAGAATGTAAACCGATTATGTCCTCTATATCTTGCAAATTCTCCTCAGGACATTGCTTCATAGTAAAGTCATAGTTGGCTTATTATAGCTTGACGAAGGCCTGCTTTCAAAAAAAGATTGCAACTGTCACTTTGCCTCGTTTACATCAACACAGCTTAAAATTTGTTTTTTTTTTTTGAGTGATAGATAAAAATATATATACATACATATCTTATCTTATTTTAATTGAAATTTAATTCTTTAATAGCTTTATCAGCTAAGCATTCCATTCGAGATAACTAACGTTTTAATGGCCTATAAGTTTTTGTTCTTTTCCATCTAAAAACTCTTGCACTTATTATAATACTTTGTAATAAAACAAATTAAATTTTTTAACAATTTTACTGCTCAGATTACTACACTTGAGAAATGATGTAATTAACAGTTTCCGTAAAGACAATGACTTGATTGTTGTTCATTTTATGTGAAACCGACAAACCTAGCCTGAGAAAGTGCCACTAATTAACATAAATACCTGTAATATTCGTAATCGTTTTCCAACGCACTACTGGAATTACTTCAAAGATTCAAAACATAAAAAATAATAAAACGCATGTGCTTTAGAAATTACATGCAATTTAAATTGCATTTTAATGGTACCAAGCAACATGTATGGAACGTATGAATGGCAGTTAAATAAGAGGAATAGATTTTCTTTAGAATTAACAAAGTTTTCAGTTAAAGTAATGATGGCTTACATGTTGTAAACTTACTCTTACTCTTCCACATTTCATAAATTTCATAAATTTAAAATAACACAACAGAATGAATGTTAATCATTAGTTAAAGTCATAATTTTCGTAATTGATATCCATGATGATGATTCATTTTTATTGACAACGAAACTCTCGTTTGTCATTATTTTATGTTTCTTTAATAAAATTAAAAATTTAGAAAAGAGCGTATATTTTGTAAGATTTTTATAAAATTTAAAATTTACTTTATTTCACTAAGGAAATAAAAACCTTGCAAATTGTTTATTAGCTTAACATTTGTTAAGCAAATGCGAAAGTTAAGTGTGCATCGGGCGACCGAAAACTTAAAAAGATAACAATTGTTGTCCAACGCAATTTTTTTTTTTAGTGGAGGTTCAAATTGAAAAACAGAAAAGAAAGGAAAAGGGGAAAGAAACGATATTAAAATACATAAAAGACAAGTTTTCTGGTAGCTCCCGGTGGTGGTGATAACACTGAAACAGAAATGTCTTCCCCGTTTGCGGTGGTTGAGTCGTTGTTACATGAATTCTATACACCGACCACACCTAACGCGCGTAAACGCCAAATAGGGGTTGAGTTGTTAGCATTTAAAAATCAATCGGAATCCTGGAAAACCTGCCTTAGTGCGGTGAGCAATGCTACGACCTTTGAACAGAATCACTTTTTATGGTTTTTTGCTACGTCTACTTTGGATCACACCATAACGCGCCGTTGGATGCAATTGGGCAGCTCAGATAGGGCACTTCTACGTGAAACGTTATGGCACACATATGCTAACTTGGCTTGCGCATCAGCAAAACGCCAGCGCGACACTTACGCTCAGTTAATAGCTTTATTGGGAAAACGCCAATTTCCCGACGAAGATCCAAACTATTTGGCGCATTGCATAGCTCTTACGAAAACCAATTTTTCATTAGGCATTTGCTTACTGCGTACAACGTCTGAGGAGGTAGTTAGCAGTCGTGAAGATGTCAGTACAGATCGTAAGCAATACTTTCATTCCTGTAACTCCATTTTGGAACTCTTATCTTGTGTGCAACATTTGGTTTCTTGGATGAATACTGATCTGCTCTCGGAATACTTTTTTATGAGCATTTTGGATTTGTCACAGTGGCGTTCCAATCGTCAAGATATTTCTCTGAATGGTCTTTCAGTATTAAATGAACTGCTGTATTTGCAAAAGCCCTTATCATTCTCGAACATTTCAATGTCAGGCGTGAACGGCTTATTGGATCAATATCATAGCTCTAATAAACAGCACGACGAAATGTACACAGATAAATTTAGAGAATTGTTACGCTTGTATGCCATTAAATACTGGCCCAGAATGCTGGGCGATCTCGAGGTTCTAGAAGCATTTCTAAATTCCTTGTACAGCTGGACAATCCACAGAAACGGAGCCTACGATTTTACAGAGAAATTAGAAATATGGACGCCTATCATTAAAGGCATAAGTGCGCAAAATAAATTAAATCGCTTTTATGAGATTGTGCAACTGCTGGTGCCTGAAATTATGCGTCGCACACAATTCGAATATAATAAGACTGAATTGGAGTTGTTAGACAATGAGCTAATGGAAGATAATACCCAAACTGAATGGCAACAGTATATAACGCAGTGCATTGAATGCATTGCATTAATTGCTGAACCACGTTCAAGCGAGGTATTCGCTTTAGTGTTTAGCCATTGGGGGCGGCCTTATATGTATTTACGGTCGCTGGAAAATGATGTCGATTGCGGTAAAACGTTTGACTTTTTACGAAAAATGAAATCGCAAAGCTTTCCGGAAAATTTAAGAGATTTCACGACCATATGCCAAGCAGTTGTACGGATTATACCGCTACTGGAGAACAATAATTCAGAATTAGGCAATGAAATTAACTACCACCTAAACGAATTCGCTGAAAATTTATGGACTGTCTTGAAATTTTTAATCAGCAACAAATTAACCGTCTTCGATGTGGATAAATATCAATATTCCAGACTGATTTTGATTATTTGTAAATTTCCCTTCCAAAACATCGTAGGCAAGCTCATTTTCAAATTTATTAATTTAGGTTATATTTTATAGATACGCCCAAGTTTTAATGGCCATACGAAGTATTTTGCCTTTATCGAATATCTTGAAAGCAGCTCGTGACAATTTTCGAGGCGTTGACCAACATTTCTCAAATCAATAATTTATTGCGAGGCTGCACAATAATCCAAATGGCTGCCAGTCAGCTATTATTATGTATATCGTCTGTAATACGTCCGAAGAGCCTTTTAGAATTTCCAGCAATTATCAATATTATGCAGTCGGGCCCTCGCCTCTCGCATTTATCAAGCCAGGTACAGGCTAGTATATACATTAGTATTGTAAGCTATTTGATATTGCCCTGGAAGAATGTCGATGAACGGGGACAGGATTACGAATACATCGCTCGATAATGCTGCGCGAATATGTAGATAGCCTAGCTCGAAGTTTTCTACAATTAGATTTAAATACCATTAACAGTGCCATCATAGCAAAATCTAAAATATCATCAATGTCGTTAAATTTGCTAACAACATTCAGTTTGGTTATTGAATATTTCAAAAGTTCTCCAAACACTTTCAACGATTTACTATCCACTGCATTCAAGCCAATTATTACTAAAGCTTTGATGATTTACAACACTTTCGGCCAAAGTAGTAACATTATAGCGACATCAGTAGCAGATTTCAGTTCAAGCGTATTACATACATTGCAAACTCAGTTAGGAACACAGTTTATCAAAGAGATGATAAACTTATTCATTACAGTAAAAAGTAGGGACCAATTGAGTATAAGTACTGCAGCGGTTATCGAAAAAATTTTGCAAATGTTTCAATTAATTGCCAAGCATCCCGGCAATGCTTCGTTGACTATGATACCATCCATATTAGATTTCACCTTCGCCTACATTATTCCCCTTCTGCAGCAAGACGACAATATAAAGTATAGCGGTGATATAACGAGTGCGGTCTACGATCTCTTTGATAGTATTTTAAATTATAAATGGCAGTACTTTTATAAATTCTATGTGCAACCGAATGGAATTTCTTCGTTTCAAAATGCTATGAACGGTAGCAATGGTGCCATAACTAGTACTACCGAAAATTTACACCCTGAACATTTCATGGCCATAATGAATGCTTACGGTCAGATTTTAATTTCCGGCAATGATCCAAACATTGTTCGCATTGTATTAAATTCATTGCAAAGTGTGCATGATCGCTGCCGTTTATATCAACGTCCGTTTTTTAAGGATAATTTATTGGCCTCATTTCAAAGGAGAGGGAGCGTTACACTTCGACTTATTAGCGAATACCTTGTTTAATTTGTCTCAGGTCGATAATATAAAAATGCCGGAAAGTGTTGCCCAAGCTGGCTTACCGATCAACATGAAATTGATTGATGAAATTTGCCTAACAAAGGACATTCCAACATTTTCACAGAAATTAACTCAGCTAATACAGGACGCGGATTGTGTACATTTAACGCAGAACTAAAACATAGTTTATACGAAAAGAAAGAAAAACAAGACGAAATTATTACGCAAAAATGAAAATTTATATTACATTCATCTACATACATACTAAATGTTGCTATTATCCTGCAGCAACAACAACAATAGATTATAATTCACGATTTCCTTTTATCAAAATCTTCTTCAGGCGATACTTGTTTTGGTCATATTTCCGCTTATCAATTTGGTTTGGCTTTCTCTTCACATCCTGATCGCCAGAATAGTCATAAAAAGTTTTAAGTGTAATTTATATAATGATTTTCATAACAAAAGAATTTCTTTCGCCGTATTTCAAAATTTGTGACGTAATTGTGTTTTTTAAATTAAACGTTTTCATTTATATTATTTTGCTTTAAATTTAATTTTTAATTTAAAAGTCTATGAAAATTTGTTTGTTTTTTTTTTTTTTGTTTTATATATATTTTTTGTTTAACATATCAAAATGTCCGTTTTTAACCTTTCATTTTTGTTTCTTAAATACAATAAATTATGCCACTGTAACATTAACTTGGATATTAAATATTGATATAAATTTATTTCTCTCTATTTAAGATTCTGTTTAATACTTAAAGACATATATGATCTTCAAATGGTTTATAAATGGATTTTGGAAAAGTTTTCTTTCATTTCAATTAATATTTTTGTGGAATTTATTCATTGATCATTGAAAGTGAAATTTTACATATTGTTTCACTTCTTAAGAATGAGCTCGAACTAAATGTTTTCTCTTTTTAGGAATACTAAGCAGTACACGTTTTTCTTTCTTTATATATCTTTCTGATATTTTATTTTTATACCCTACACAACTGGTCGTATAAGTGTACGTTAAGCTTGTGCAGACGTATGCAATACGCGAAAGGACTTGATATAGATCCACCCTTTTTGTATACGAATCGATTCAGAATCATTTTCTGAGTCGGAACTTGTCTGCCTGTTTGGCCGTCTGTCCGTATCGTCTTCTTTTGGTCAACCTACAGGTCACAATTTCTGATGTAAATTGTTGAAGTTTGGTATACCGACGGGTTTTTGCCCAAGGACGCAACCTATTGAAAATGCTTCCAATCGAATCACTCTTGCGACTGCTACCCATATAACAGCTTATTTTGGAAAGTCGTTCTATGCACCAATACATGATTGTATAGAGTAATTAATGGGGGGTCGTGACCCATTACGGTGTTCTTACTTGTCTATTGATGATCAATTTTCAAAGATCGAATCAGCACAATCTATAAATACTTTTTCAAGTAATTGGTGGAATAATGCGTTAGTAATCCTCCTCGGGGACCGAGTTGGCAACGGATCTCGACTAATACCTCACCGGTCATAGGTTCAAATCTGAAGTGTTTAATAAAACCGGAAGCCTTAGATGCTAAGTTTTTGGTTTTAAAATGTAGTTTTCTGATCAAATTAATTATATACCACGAGCTATGGTGATTTCTTTCGAGTCAATAAGAGACTTCACATAATATAATTAAAGACATAAAGAAAATTACGATAAACAATTATTTTAAAGAGTTTGCAAGAGAGTGTTACACAAGTACTCGCTCGCTTTTAATCGATATTAGCTGATAAGCGATCTTTTCTTTTTTAACTTTGGATTGAGAAACATGCGAACCCTATTAAATCTGTTTTAGCACATCGTCAAGCTAAAATTAAATATAAGAGTAAAATGCCATGAGAAATAATTATCAGTTCCGTGCAGTAGTGGGTATGCAAATACACCAAAGGTGTAAATAAAAAGAGATTGTTTAAAAATAAAAACACTGTCTGTTTTGAAACTACCGGTGGCTTTGTTAAAACGTAAAAATAAGTATAAAATATTTATAAAAAAATTGCGAAAAAAATTAACGTTTATACAAAGCAAAATGACAGTTCTACTCTGGCAGCAATGGCTGACTGTGTCATATTCCGATATTTTGTTTCATTGAAAGCATTTTTTTTTTTCAAATTAATTATAGAGGTAATGGTAAGCAAAAGTAATAAGCTAAGGATAAAAACGGTTAAGTGAGAATAACAGACATGCAAAGCGGTCCATTCCCGTTTACTTCTATTGAGGTTATTTTCACTGCATTTTGTTTTGGACTTACAACTCCTCGAACTGTTCGCTCCTATTATGTGCCCTTTGTTAGCGTAACGTATAAAAATTTTGCTTAGTACCACAACTACTTGGCATAAGCATGATACCCACTTTGTCGTGTGTGCAATCAAAAGCTTCAACATTTCCGCATTATAACAGAGAATTTTCGAGCAAGGATGAACTTCCCTTAGTGTTTTAGAAGGAAATAAAAAGAATGAAGCGCTGAAATAGTTTATAAAATCGCACCACAACCTCAAAGTTACCTAAACGTAGAAGTAATCACTTCATTCGCTCCACTTCTTAACCCTATACTATCAAATCCTACGCTATTAGTATAATGCTTTGGTACCCTAACCTTAGGTTAACAAACCTAATTAGTCCGGTAATGTGAAGTTCGGTTCCCTTTCTTAGCGCCGATGATGAAATATTTTGAAAATTCACTTAAGATTCAGCTCTTCAGCTCGGTTTACCACATATAACCCGTTACTTCCCTCTCTCCCTCACGGCACTTAAATTTGACCCCTACATTTGCAATACGTTAGATTAACGTTACTTGTATTTACATATATCAAAGCAAAGTGTTCTCAGCTGAAGAAATAATAAAAATAATAAAAAAAAGTTGGAGCATAGGTAAAAACCTCATTAAGCAGAAAAAATTAAAAAAAAAAAAATGAACATTGCAGACGACGAGCGTCTAAAACATGGGCGACACATAAGTGCAAGTATTTAGCATGAGATAGATGCTAGACGATTAAGACAATGTGAGAGCTTACTTTTGTTTTGGTTTTTTTTGTTTTTTTTTTTTTTGTCATAATATGAAGATAATGTTTCAACCGAAATTTAAAAGGCAAAACAGTATAAGTAGTTTCTATGAAGAAACAATTTTTAAGTTTGTAACTTAATATCACGTAATAAAAATAAAACCTTTCTCTCTTAAACTGTGATTCAAGCCTTTTCGCATGAAGATTAAATTTTTGTTTAATTCCGCCTTTTTGTTTATGCATTTATTTATTTATTTACTTTGGTTTGTTTCTCTTTTTGGTAGCGTAATACTTTCAAGTTTTTGATATTTCGATTTATGCTATTATTCCTTTCGATCATAATGACGTGCTCAAATGTCGGGCAATGTTTTAGCTTTGCTTTAATCTAAATTTAGTTCCAAAACAGATTTAAACCGAAGATGTGGTTGCTCGTGCACATAATTTGTTATACGTTAATATTGCTTGCGGTGCATCATGTGTTCAGCTACTGGAAACGTAGACGTTTTCCCCAAGAGAAAACCGTTCTTTATTTGGATTTTTTTAAACAAATTATCCGTCGCGAGTTGCAATACGTTAAAGCAATTAATGCCGATTATCGGCGTTTTCGTTCGCAACCTTTTATTGGCATTTATTGTCGGCTGAAACCATGCCTTTTAGTAAGAGATTTATCCCTTGCTAATTCTATAATGAAAACGGCGAGCGCCCATCATTTCGCAAACACAAAGTGGGATTATTCACGTAATTATCGCAAATACAATTTATTAGAGAAATTATCACCGATATTTTGTAAGAATCAGCTGGAAGGTATGTTGCCACATATTGAGAAAGTTGCCAACAATTTATTAAATTATCTGAATGATCAATGGCGTCAAGATGATAAGGTCGTTGAGGTGGATGCACAATATTTAATAAGCACGTAAGAGACGGTGATCTTGTTTATTGAAATTCATTTATTTATTTTTTTGTTTTGTTTTGTTTTTTTTTTTTGTTTTTCTGTTTTTTCAGATTTGTTATAAATGTTTTAGCAAATTTAATCTATGGATCAGAGATTGATCATTTTAAACAAACTGATAATGTTTTTAAGCAATATGTCAATGAAAAGCTTCGCAATACAAGAGCATATAATTTGTAAGTGTTAAAAATAGTGCTTGGAATAATAAATACATTCATATGAGTTTAGATTAGAGCGGGAAGGAAAACCTACGAAAACATAGCTAGTTGAAAGTCCCTATACAGTCTTCTAAATTTTCAGGATTACAGACAATGTGTTATACCCATGAATGGGGCGTGACTTCATTACATGACCTCTCGGCACTTTGGGGTTAGTGATTAATGTAAAAAACTATGGAAGGTAAGAAATTTTAGTTCCTTTCACACGAACTCGACTTAGGTAACTAACTTTTAAAAAGTAATTTGGCCATTGAGGAGAATAAATCAAGAGAAACTACGCTACTCGGCTTTTTTCCTTAAAACCTTTTATGAGTCTAGACGTACTAGACAGAAACTTTAAACTGGAACGTCACGTTAATCTATGAACCATTAGGGAAGACACTGACTAAATTAATGAAATATTCTGTACCGAAATGTTGATCAGTGCCCTAAGTAGTCGTTCTAACTTGCCTTCACTTAACTCTCCATTGCTAAGCAATCGATTTAACTGTTGGAACAGTGCAGATATAAGCCCTAGCTTTTTTATGAAGCCGGTAGGTAGTCTTAGATGCTAGTAGCTTAAGACTTTAGTTTTAGAATTGATTTCTCTGGCTAAATTAGTAATAATAATAATAATTGTAATAAAGATCTAAGCAGGAAAATATGAATAAATTATTACCCCGTCTTGTAAAGGGCCCTATCTTACCTTGGAGTACAAAAATGATTTACATATACACGGCGGTAGTGAAAGGATTAAACCTATACTTATCATGAACCCTAATCCCTCAAGTTATCAATATGTCAAATAATATTTTACACATTTATGTATGTATGTGTGTGTGCGTATATACATACATTCATGTAGTAAAAAATTATATATGTATGCATATTGTGTATATTATATATATAAACCATATGCATACTATTTTTGTAGCTTTTTACGGCAAAATTCGTCGATAACCTTACGTGAAATGCTTAATGAAAACGTGCAACAACGTGAGCAAAGTGGCCTAATACGTAAGGATATTTTGCAAATGTTATTAAAGTTACGTAATGGAGACAATATTGAATATAATGAAAAGTTCACTTGGTGTCTTAAAAAAGATTATGGAATTAAAGAGAAATTTCTTTCCCTCTCTAAACTGACACGGATCGTTGAACACCTGTTTGACATGGGCTATGAAAGTATGGCCGTCACAGCCACATTCACTTTATATGAAATTTTAAAAGATGACGACATACGGCAAAAGATTATGCAAGAGCTTGAAGCATTTGAGTTAACAAAAACCAATTGCAACAACATTTGTGTAAATTATGAAAATTTACAAAAACTCAAATTTATGGATTTATGTATACAAGGTAATGTACACACATAAATATTTTGCTAAATTTTAACGTATAAGTAAGTATTTCAATTTAAGTATCTTTGTAGAGACTACACGTAAATATCCTTCAGTTCCATTAATTGAACGACAATGTTGCAAGGATTTTAAATTACCCGGAACAAAACTGACTATGCGAGATGGCGACACTATGATTATACCCTTAATGGCTATACAACATGATGAGAAATATTACGTTAATCCCTTTAGCTATAAGCCACAACGTTTTGCGGAGAATAAAAGCGGTGAAAAGGCTGAAGTATTTATTGGTTTCGGTTTTGGTGCACAAATCTGTGTGGGTAAGTTTTTTTTATTTTCATAATTTATTTTACATACTTAACTAATTAAATGGTTCTTTTGCAGCTCAGCATTTAATTAAATTAGTAATAAAGTTAATATTAGTTAAACTTTTCTTAAACTATCAACTGGAGTCAACTGATTCTGCAAGTTTGAAAGTAGACTATAAGAGGCTAGCTTGCATAAGAGCTAAGAAAGGATTTAAAATTAAATTAAAAAAATTACTGCAAAAATAAAATCAAATATTTGAAAATTAATTTTTCTTTTTCAGTAATAAATATTTAAGAGTTAATTTCATTCAAATTAAAGATCATTTTGTCAGATGTCTGACACGGAATTTCAAGTAAATTTATATTCGGCTCGAACAAGTATACATGAGAGTTAAGATGATTTTGAAACATATTTTGGGAGCTCATCTCCTTCAGCTCAAGTGTTTGCTTTGAAATGTACATTAGAAGTGAAAGCTATGAAGCTGTTCTTTGAGGCTGAAATTTTGTTTCGCCGAACTTATGCCTAATGCCCCAATATCTGAACGTAAGTTATTGCCTATAATATTTTGAAATATTAACTGTTTTACGATTTTTTTTTTTTGCCTTTCCTGGCAATTGAACTGTTACACTGTAGATGCATAAAATGCTTCAGCTGGTCACTATCGACCTTGTGAATAAAACAGTTTTCACCAAAAAGGGAAAATATGACTCGTGTCGCCATGATAGGAAAAATGAAGATAGCAACCTAAAATCTTGATCGATTGAAAAATCAAGGTTAAAAACTGAGTGTGATCCATCACCGTTATCGTAAAACGACGAAAGAAGGCAAAAGAACCAAATTTCCATGCTTCCATACATGGTTGGGCAGTCGAACTGATGGACAGACGAACGGACGGACATTCGAGTATATGTATATTATATGGAGTCTTTGCAGCTTGTTTTTACATGTTATGAACATGTTGAAAATAAAATTGCATATTACACATTACATAAACGGGCAGATGGACAGACAGACAGACGAGCATGTTTAATTCGATTCAGAAGTTTCTTTGAAGTTTCCTTTTGGACGTTGCAAACGTTTTGAGAAAATGAATATTCCCCTCATCCTTGGGTGATGGGTATAAAAAAGAACAATCGTTTTTTTGAAGCTTAAAAGTTACGAAAAGTCAATTTGACCCACGCGGTAGTTGTAGCGTTAAAATTCTAGCGTAGCGTAGCGTTCAAATTCTAGCAAAGAAAAGCCGAGCGCACATCTGCATGCTTGGAATCATAAATATATTTACGCTTAAGTTGTTTCTCTTCCGAAATTTACACAAACATAAAAATGCAAATGAAATGAGATATATATATATACACAAGTCAACCTTCAGTCGTGAGTATAAATTTATAAACAATTTTTAAGTTTAAATATGCATACATTATATATACTTAAATTGTAGTATGGTGATGGGATGCGAGTAGACGAAATATACTTTTTAAGTCAAGTGCAAACAAGTTTTGGTCACATATGACAACAAACAAATATCGAACTTAAGCTCTCTTTCGTAATTCGTAAGAAGTAAAGCGTGAAAATACTTTAAATGGATGATTTCCAGCCTTTCAAAAGCATTTGCACCAATTACCATTAATTAGGCAATGAATTTATGCAATAAATATTTACAGACATTTTCTTTTTTCTTTTGGTCGTCTATCGTTTCTCTTACCGACACATTTGTCATGATTTTCTTTTATCTAACAGCTTTTTTTTAATCCATTCCGCTCATCAAATTTAAAAGTTATGCGATTTCTTAAATTTTATATAAGTATTTTAGGTTTTTTTTGTTTTTTTTTTTTTTTATTATTTATATGAAACTAATCTCGCGCAGAATGTGACATAACTGGAGAAAATGTTGAATATGATAAAAAAAAGTTAATTCATTAAAAAAATTGCATTACATTAACTGAAAAAAAAAGCAAAGATAATAATAAACAGCTAAGCAATTAGTTACATAAACAACATTTAAGGTTAGCTTACAGCATACAAATGAATGCGCATTTTTCAATTTATCCGTAAGACCGTTAATGAGAAAATTGAAAGCAAAATTATAGCATTTTTACATTTTCATAGACATAGATATAGTTAGTTGGCAGTTCCCATAAGTAGATACGTCAGTTAGTTTTCCATAAACTGCTTGTGATATTTATTAATCTTTAATTAATAATAGCTTGCCCGGAGCGTGCTGGATTGTGGCATAAAAAAGACACATTGTTGAGATGTTAGTGACGTTATCACCTAGTGCTAATAATGTCCTAATTTATCTATTAAGGCAGAGAAGAAAATTCTTGAACTGAAGTCGGACGCGCATTAGCAGCTTGAACTGTTGACTCTATTTTTTACATGAGTAAAAAAACTATGGTGGGCCAAGTCCTCTCCTTAAATTTCCTAAACCAGCTACCACAGATATTCACATATCGACTTAAGAGTAACCGTTAGAACACTTTACGATATTATTTTCTCAAGCACAATCGCTAGGTGCAGTCCTGCATTCAGCTAAGTGCAGCAAATTCGCTATGTGCAGCGCTGCATCCAGCTACGTGCAGCAAATTCGTTATGTGCAGCGCTGCGTTTATTTAAGTGCAGGGCTGCATCCGGCTAAGTGCAGCACTGCACACTGGTAAGTGCATCACAGCAGGTGCAGCGCTGCATTCAGCTAAATTTAGCGTTGTATTCATTTAAGTGCAGTCCATTTACTTAACACGCTCGATTACAATTTAATGCTTTGCGCGTATTTGTTATGCGGACCCCAACTGGGTTCTAAAGCATGAAAATCCTGAAGAAAACCGCTAACTAGCACCTAGGGACCGTGGATGGATTATAAAGTCCTGGAAATGGACTGTAAAGCTCTTGCAATTTGAATAGACAAAAGACCGCTAAATGCTTGGAAGCTTTGGTATTGGATTCAACATATAAAAGTGGCATAAATTTGAATTTCCCCATGCTAGTCGGTTAAAACTAGTTCACCTTTGCAATGGAAATGTGGCATGCAATGCGGTAAGGTTGGGGATGGATTGCTTGTGCTGTGATTTCAACACTTCCTACTCTCCGTTCAGCCAAAATACTTTGGAGTTTTTGAGCGAACCCCCAAGGTAGTTGAAGGCTCATTACAAAGTAAATATAAAATGTTCGTAAGAAGTATTTCGCGAACCTGCATTCTATAATATTCGTTTTTAACCAGCAATTGCTGCAGACGCTTTCCCCTGTCGTTTTATGATGAGGACTACTGCTCTATTTCCACAATTTTTTCGATTCAATTAATTGCATTTAAAAAATTTTCTTTAAAACGAGAGCTTTCAATTTAGTTTTCAATAAAATTTTAATTGTTGTATCTTTTAATAAAATTAAAACATTGATATTGAATATAAAGTTCAATAATGCAAATATTTGCTATAAATATTAATATGCATAGTGAAAAACCTAGTGAAACAAGTAAAAATAGCAGTTGGGCTAAGCCAACCATTGAACGCTTTGCGACACTTCACTAATTTTCATCGTAAAATACTAAAACCATAGCTTGATGCAATGCGAATGCTTACTCTTCGTAGGAATCGTTGAAGCCTGCACCTGCTCCAAATGTGGTAAAATTGATTTTCTTTCTCAAGAACAACTTTTCCAGACAAACAAGACTTCGTTGCCATACAAAAGGTTCCTTTTGTCCATGTACGGAAACGGGCTTCAAACATGAATCCATGAAGTCTAGGCACACTACATGATGTTTGGATGCCAAAGCGCTATCCTGGAACGATTTCGCTTCAAACTGCTACATGTTCGACCGCCTTGTTATGGGGAAGCGTACTTTTCTATGAAAAGCTCCACACGGCAGCGGGTTTCTATCCAATTCGCGTTCAAAGGTGTTGGCTCTTGTTTATAGGTTTGAGCTGCACTGAAATAACGGCCGCATAGATTGGATTCTTAAGAGTAGAGTTTAAGATAAACATTAGGACAGACTTTCTAACTTTCTTGGGCAAGAACGCACCAGTGGACCAAATTTTGTCAAAAAATTTCACAAATTGCGACTTGTATCAGACCTACGTATTAACTTGGAATATAATTCCAATTCGATCGATATAATAAGAAAGGTGAGTCTATTTGAAGTTCTTGTCCTGAAGTGTTACGTAGATCCGCACAAAATTAAGATGCGCTACGCGACACACGTGACATGGAGTATAATAAATGCTGCGAATTTTTCCAATCAATTATTTACTTTTGCTTATTTACAATTTTATGGAATATTTTCTCAGCGAAACGAGACAATGACAATTACTGTGCTAAAAATGAAAAAATGCTGCAGGCGTGCATAAAACGCTTGAAAAGTGCTTAACTTATAATTTTCATTTCAGTATTCACAAAACAATAAACTGAAAATGTTGCCATTTACGTATGTCTATGTATGTATAGATATATATATATATATATATATATGTATGTAGGTAAAGGATGCTTTTCTGACCTACTTCCCTTTAGACAATAGTTAGCAATAGAAATCTCTTCTCTGCCTCTACAGGTAATTGCCTGTGGTGGCTCGAGGATGACGAAAGGTTTGTTGCTATTTCTCGTTGTATCTCTTCATTTCTCCCTCTTTGCGGCTCCCTCGTTCTTTCTTTACAACAAGTTTCCCTTTAGGTTATACGTTAATGTTAGTCCTATTGCAGATACGTATATAAGTACACTGTGTCATATTCTCCATGTAAATGAAGTTGGCAGAAGGATAATACGATTAAGCAACAAAAAAAAAAAAAAAAAAAAGAAGAAAATTTCTCTTTGAATTGCAAATAAAGTGGAAAAATGTGTTACATTTGGTCAAGAGAAGCTAACACTTCAGTATACGATCTCTCAAATGCATGCAGTTAATTTTGAATTTCTAATTAAAATAAGACGAGAAGAAAAAACCGGGAATAAAAAGCATTTTTAATTAAGCAACTTACCATTTTATTCGAGTTTTAATTAAAATCTGAAACGGATGGAAAGAAATGAAAAGAATTATTATTTCTAAACCGCCACAGAAAAAGCGAATGCACGAAAGATATTAAATAAATTTAGTTTTATACTTAATCTTATAGTCTCTTGTTCTAGACATTTTACCAAAATTTTTTATAGCGCGCCCCAAGGTTTTTCTACTTTCTCATTACGCGCAAAAGCGAAATGTTAAGCCCCCCATAAAATGCCAGAAACGAAACAACGGATGGCGTTAGTGGGCTAGATTAGTATGACGAGCCATAAAGCCATGCTCTCGTTTTGCCTTCATATGGGTGCGAGGTACTAGGGCTAAGATTGGGTTAAGTAAATCAAAATATTGTTAAGTTAGAATTAAGCAGACAGCGACTAGTGATAGGTTATGAATATCTGAATTAAAAACCATCTGATTTCAACTAAGATCAGGCAAGGTGGGGAATGCTAACACCAAAAAGGCGAAAAAGCATCTTTCGTTTTTGTGAGCCATCTTGTTCTTGATTGTTTTAGACATCCGGCTCTCTCTTTCTTGCAATTCGAAACTATGCTGACGTGTCTGCGACGCCCGTTAGTTTAGTTGGTCTTACAATAGATCTTGCTTTGGCGTGTGTGTCTGATATATCATCCATTACTTCTTAATGCTGAACACACTTCGCAGTACTTCTACTAAACTGTCGCAGAAAAGCATTTCTGATCGAAAAACATAAAACCAACGAAAGACTTTGCAATTATTATGCATTAGCTTGAGATAACAGAAATCAAAACTCGGCTTATATAAGAGTGTAAGGTACTTAGTGTTACATGTGTTAGTACATGTGAGCAATGTGTTCCCGCCTACGTTGAAATTAATTTCCAACAAGGATTGAATTGCCGCAAGGTTGGATACGAGTTTTAAAAGCATCAGATGTCACCTCCGGGCATTAAGGCGAAAAATATTCATTAAGTTCCTAATCATGATTGTCATATTACAGTGAGCCAAGAAAACGACATTTATTATATCATTATTGGTTTTTTGTCTTCTTCTTCGTATTAAACTATAATAGATTTTATTATTCTAAGACCGCTATTCCACCATAACCACCGTCTACGACAACCATTAACTTTGAATTTTGGAGCCTTCGCATACCGAAAGAGTCGAATGCTGTGTATCTACCGGCTAATAAGCCCAACATGTTTCACTTGTAACCGATTTTTTAAGGTTTTCAAAAATTAAAACAAAAAATAAACCTATGTTAACTCTTTACTTTAATCTTAATTCGCCCGAGTGGCCGAAGGCGAGAAATTTTGACTAGCAATCTAATGGTCGTGGGTTCGAATCTCAAGTACGGTAGAGTTTTTAATTAAAGCTGATGGATGCTAGTGCTGTAAGAGTACTCTTAGAATTTATTTCTTTGGCGAAATTAATAATAATAATAATAGTTTAGTCTTATGCCTGACATGAAATTTACTTCTCAGTCAAAGTGAAACAAATAGACAACGGAGATGCACTGCCAAATTCGTAGTTAATGGACAAAACGCATGATTTCCTTGAAATTATCCCGATATGCTTTATACTTCGACAGCCAATTAGAGGCTGACTGATTGCATAATTCATGAGCGAGAAGAACAAAAGGGAAAGCAAGGATCTGATCGATTTAACAGTTAAGAATTTGTGCATCACAATACGTAAGATATATGTAAAATGTATGATGAAAGTAACAAAGCACAAATTCCGTAATGAAAATGAAAACCCCAAACGTAGAATATTTGCGTTTATACAAAATTGTGGCAGAATACAAATTTTGACATTTCGTATACACATATACTCTGCAGATGAAGAGAACGGACAATTAAAGGCTGAATGCATGCGTTTGCATAAGATTATGAGCAAACGCAAATCTCGACAATTTATGTATATATATTACCTGGAGATTAATAATATCCACAACTTAGTTTAAAATGATAACAAATTTTTTTTTAATTAATTAACTTATTGTAGACCTCAACTGCACGTAATATTTGCTCACCTTATTTGTTCGCCTTAATTTTCAAATGCATACTTAAATACAGTTTTGCTTCTATTTTATAAATTATCGTAAAATAATTGAAAGGCATAATAAATTCATTTTACTTTTCGGAAATTATTCATTAATTCTGATATTTTTATATAATATTTTAAACGTTAATAATGACTGCATGTGTTTTTCCATTTATAGATAAGGGAAAAATTTTTATATTTATTTCATTAAATTATGTTAATTATCATTGAATAGTACACGCAAAATGATGTCCTCTTTGTAATCATTATTATTTATGGCCTTTTAAAAACTGCCGGAAAATTTCAGCAGGCATGATATGGAAAATGCGCTTAAATGATAAAAATAATAAGCAGAGAATGCGGAAAAACTCATGACTCGTTATGTATAACTAAACTAACTCTTTTAAAGGACATCACGTACATATATTTCGTATACAATTAATCATTATATAAAAAGTCATTAACTTTGACAAATTTGAACAAATTCTCGTCAGCATTTGTAAACTTTTGCAAAAATTACTTCTTTTTTTTTTGCCTTGAAGTTTACTTTTTCCAGCAGGTCCAGCGTATCCATGTAATGTTTCCGTTCAAGTTGATAAATGTTCCGCTTTTCATAAATTGTTGGAAAAAATAATTCTTTGTATCAATTTCTGTTACCTGGAAAGCTCCAACTCCAGCAACTTTTGAACAAATGAAACAACATAAAGTCGGCCCATGATAGACATAAGAGAATCCTCAGATAGGGTAAAGTGTTCTTGATAAACCACGTGAAGTCATTGCACTTTTAGCACAAGTTGGAAGTGTTAAAGAAATGTCATTCAGATAATGCTCAAATGCCCGAGCATATAACCAGCTAAAAAACTTATAGACAAAGATTCATCATTATATTCGCCTTGAATAAGTTACTTATATTCCTATCTTTGGGAGTAATTTGAATCGAGAGAATGAAATAGGCGAGAAGGAAATGATCAAATCAGGTGAAGTGCATGATTAAAGCTGTTTTTTATACCCCATATCACTTGTGGCGCCAGGGTATATTAAGTTTGTGCGGAAAAAGAACTTAAGATAGACGCAACTTTTATTATATCGATTGATTTAGAATCATTTTTTTAATTTATCTAAGCTTATGTGTCAGCATGTCCATATGTCCACCTGGCTTCTTTTCTTGTGTTCAACCTGGGGGCAGCAATTTTTGTGATATTTTAATAAGATTTGGTAAACAGATGTGTTTTGGCTCAAAGACGAAAGCTTGGGATCAGACCACTTTTTTGATCACTTCCCACTATATATCCCGCTATAATGTTTTCGTTTGTTACTTTATTGAATAATTGAACAATTGAGTGTATTGCAAGACAGTTTAACAGAGAAACAAAAAAGCTTATCCCTATCACTAAGCGCTTTTCTGTACGCTATAAGTGACAATTACTAAAAGCTAATTGCTCAGCATTTTTTAAAGATTTATCTTTAAATATTTATTTGACTTTTACAAATATTTTGAAAAGGTTAATTTTCTACTAATTGATCAGAGAACTTTCTTATCCGCATGTCAATACTTGTCGTTTATAAGAAAAAATTTGATTTGCTATGGCAATGTGAAAAATTTATTATTATTTTTAAGGATTATTATCTCATTACATATATATATTATTATATTATTATATACTTGTGTGTATATGTATATACATAAATTATACTCACATCTGGTTTACGGATCATGAATGGTTCAATTGTAAAACTATGAGGTTAAGTTTGATTGTTATTTAATGAAATAAATTTTAACGACCCCATAATACGGTCTCTTTCTTATATATGGCGTACCCATATATAATTTGAAATTAAAAGCTATAAGTTGGAGTTTTATTATTATTTTAGATCCGCGGAACACAAGGGAAAATGTTTGTTTTGTTTAAGGCTTCGCAATAGCCCATTCTTTACGTTAACGTATAAACAAGAATCTAAAAAAATTTATAAAACTTCTCTAGTATCCAGCTGAAAATGTAAACTAAACTAAATAGATTTTGAAGTCTTACCACATCAACTATAGGAAAATAAACAAAACGTTTTATAAAATGCTGAAAAGGCAGAAAAATAAGATGCGATATTCTCGTTGATGTGAACATGGCGAACCCATCACATCAACAATGAGATGGTAGTGAACGACCGGCCTTAATGTTTACAAAGTGACCAAAACCAACTTTCCGCTCGATAATGTTAACGTACGCAGGTGAACAGATTAGACACTAAAGACCTAAGCGACACAAAATACCGAACTACAAATACATTTACTTTACCAAAAGTCTCTGACTTATCACGCGCTAATGACATGATGAAACCGCAGCCACAGAGGCACGCAGCAGACATGATTAAATCGGCTCAAAAAATTGACTACCGCGCCGTGTAGTGGTTAGAATGTCCGGCAGGCAGCCGATAAACCACAAGTTTGTATTATACTTAAATGTGCTGTGCAAACAAGCTGAAGTAACAGTAAAGCGAACGAAGAAGTCGAAAGAAGAATAATGGGAGCAATGTGATAGAGAAAGAGAAAATACACTTATTTATTTGCGGATCTTCTTTCAATTCACAGGCATAGGAACGCACGCAGTTTCTTAATCCTATGCTAAATCGGAATAGTCGAAAGGGAATGTCTCAAAGGACAAATACCAATGTCATTGTTACGTACTCGTAGACATAACAGGCATGCTTCCATTTTTCGCTGCAACACCTATGAATATATAAGCAATACCGCACTAAGAGCAACAACCAAATAATAATGACAATTGTACCGAAAGTTTATAGTACACATATATATGTATATATGTATACATGCCCATGACGTAAAATGTTAACATAAATAAAAATTTATTAACAGCACACAGCTGCATAGAGACGAAGCCATTCATATCAACAAATGTTGCATGAAAGCTAAAACTTTTAAATTGTGTCATGGATGTTTGCAGGCACAAAGAATGGTGAGAGAAAATCTA